CTTAGATGCTGGGGATTGACTTCTGTGTACTTTTCTGACACTGCTACATCCCTGGCCCTATATCCTTTTTTGAACTTCTCCTCTCCCAAGAAAACATTCAAGGTATAATATTGAATACATGCATATGTAACCAATTCTTTGCGATTTCTATCTCTACCCCTTTTATCCTCGTAATTTGCTTTTATTCTAGCTAAAGTAAATGTTTAGGAAAAATCATACCAAATGCTGCATCCTGTTTTCCATTTTTTTAAACATTACTACAAGGATAGTTATTATACCAGATTCTATTAAGTGTCCCATGAAGGAGACTAAAATAAAAGCTACTTTACCTATTTCAGACAGAAAGGAAGTGGTTTGGGGTATTAGGTTACAAAGTCTTAGAAGTGGGAAGGAGAGACTTCCAGAGACAGGGATTGCAGAAAGTCTTGACTCTGTAGGAGTGAGCCTTGTTTGGAGACTACTTAGTCTTCTAACCCACACCTGTGTAACTGCTATAAGTTCCTTGATTATCTGTGGTGCTTCCACTAGAGGAACTCGGAAGGGGCTACTGCTGTGTGGTGCCTGTTGCCAGTATAGCCAAAGAGAAGTGTGGGTTCATTCAGCCACATTTTTTCATCTAGTGTGGCTATCTTGGCAGGACATAGGAGCTTGGCCTGGGAAATGTAGTTTTATTTATTTATTTTATTTTATTTTTTGGTCTTTTTGAGACAGGATCTCCCTGTAGCCCCAGCTGGCCTGGAACTTACTATGTAGACCAGACTGGCCTTGAACTCTCATAGATACACCTGCCTTTGCCCCAAGTTCTGGGATTAAAGGTGTGTGCCACCATGCCCAGCTTGGGAAATGTAGTTTTAGCCTTCTGGTTGTACTTAACTGTTCAGGAAAGCATTTAGAAAAGGGCAAGTGTGGGCTGAATGCTAACAGACACAGTCTCCCATCTGAGATGTTTATACTCCATAAACAAATCTCTGGCTCTGTCAAAATGTTTAGTTAATAGATGTCCAACTATCTGAATTTTTTAAAAATAAGGTCCTGAAACTTTCTACATCTGTAGTAGGTTAAGAATATTTTTGTATGATTCATAGAAAGTATTGTGGAAGTCTTGATGGTGTTTACTACATTTAAAAATGTAGCTTAGGTCTTTTTCTCTCTTGCTGAGTACAAAAGAAAATGTGAATCTGGCTAGAAAATTGCCCTAGCATGGGCTTATTAATATTGTACTATGTATATGGCAAGGAAATTCAACAATTGAATTCTCTTCTTCCTCCATCCTTTGCTCTCCATTCTGTAGACGAGCTACTGTGTTGCCCTGCTGATCTCAAGCTCCTAGGCTTAAGTAGTCATTCTGCTTAGCTTGTTAAGTACCTGGTACTCCAGGCATGCACCACTGTACTGACTTAGTTAATTTTCCTAGAAAACAAATCCATTCTAACTCTAGAAGTCATTTTCAGTTTTATGTACTGTTTTGCCCCATTTTAGTTTTTGCATGCTTAATACAACACATAAATGTATTCCTTGCCCCCCCAAAAAAAGGGAATACTGTACCACTCCCCACAATATATAAAAAAGAGGAATCTGTAGAAACTGGAAATGAAGTCGTTACCTAAATAATAATAATAAACTTTAAAAAAAATTTTTTTCTTTTAATGTGTATGAGTGTATTGCCTGCATGTATGTGAGCACACCCATATCGTGCAATGCCGCGGAGGTCAGAAGAGGGCTTCAGATTCCCCTGGAACTGGAGTTAAGGACAATTTGTAGCCGCCATGTGGGTGCTGGGAATTGAACCCAGGTCCTCTGCAAGAGCAGTCAGTGCTCTTAACAGCTGAGCCATCTCTTCAGCCATTAAATAATTATAAACTTTAATGTGTATTTTGTAGATTTAGAGAAATCCTATTTCAAAAGAAGTCCTTTCACTTTTTTTTTTTTTAAAAAAGAAAAGTCCTCACTGTATAACCCTCACTGATCTGGAGCTCACCATGTAGACTAGGCTAGTCTCTAACACATAGAGGTCTGCCTGCCTCTACCTCGCAAGTGCTTTGATTACAGGCACATACCACCATGCCTGGCTTAAATTTTATTTTTAATTGTGTGGTGTATGTATGATGTGTAGGTCAGAGGACAGCTTTTGGTAGTTGGTTCCCTCTCTACTGTGGGATCCATCGGGTTTCTGTGGCAAGCACCTTCACCACCACTCACAGCCATCTTTCCTGCCACTTTCTAAGCTCGAGAAAAGCTGATAAAAGGAAGGTACAACTCCATTAACACCTTTTTATTTGAAAGTACTAGGCCTGAGGGGCAGCAATCAACTTTGGATCCTTTTTGAGTATCATTTAAAATTAGCTAACTGGACAGGGAAGCCCAAGAATAGGTCCCTTCATCCAGTTCTGCTTTGACATTGCAGCTCTGGGAATGCCTGTGGGTTGCAGTAGCTGTGTGCAGTGAAGGCCAAGTTACTAGAAGCCTCAAACAATGCATAATTTCCTACAATAAACTGCTTATCTTTTATTTATATTATTTTTCTACCTTTTGTGATAAGTACAGTATATTTGTATCTTATGGTAGTTAGGTTTAAACTTAGTAAGGCTCATACATAAAAACCATTCTTGAGGGCTGGAGAGATGGCTCAAACAGTTAAGAGCACTAGCTACTCTTTCCAGAAGACCAGGTTCAAATCTCAGCACCCACATGGCAGCTCACAACTCCAGTTCCAAGGGATCCAACAACCTCTTCTGTCTCTGCCAGCATTGCATGATACGGGTGTGCATACATGCAGGCTTAACATTCATATACATAAAATAAATTTTAGGAATTTAAAAAAGTTAATAAAATTCTTAGCTGGGCGTGGTGCCACATGCCTGTAGTCCCAGCACTTGGGAGGCGGAGGCAGGTGGATCTCTGTGAGTTAAAGGCCAGTCTGGTCTACATTCCAGGACAGCTGGGGCTACAGGGACCCCCTTAAAAAAAAAAAAAAAAAAAAAAAAAAAAAAAAAGTAAATAAAATTCTTTTAAAAAGTTAAGAATATGTTGCAGTTACTTTTTTATTTAGTATGAAGCACGCATGTCCTCTGCAAGAGCAGTTAGTGCTTTTAACCACTGAGCCATCTCTCCAGCCCTCATTTAGTACTTGAACATATGTGGCTAGGATTACTAGCTGAGGTACTAGGCTTGTGTTGGAGAGGCTTAGCTTTCAGATGCTACAGTGATAAATAGCATGTTGACATGCTTGCACACTAAAATCGATACCCAAGGGTTTATCTTGTCTACCTTATACTAGAACTTCTGGACACATAGTTTGTGAATACAAGGACTGGCAAAATCACCATTTTTAGTACAGCTGTGGCTGAGCACACAGGCACATCTTGTATACAGCATGTGAGTGAATGGCCATAGTAAGAGATTAGAAGTCAACATAGACATATGAAACGGCAACCTAGAAGAAGGAAATAAATTAGAAGCAGAAAGAAAGCAGGTATATATATATAGAGAGAGAGAGATCCTGTGGAAAATAAAGGCTATCTAACAGGGATACCCTTTTTCTCAAAATCCTCTTAAGACAAAATGAAATGTAGCAGCACACAAAGGAGTTGTTGAAGATAAAGTATTGATAATACATAAAGTTAATTTGGAACATATATAAGTGTAATTTTGAGGAAAATCTGTTTTAAAAATTGCATGACTTTTTCAATTCCTAGATACATGATTTATGTGCTATTTAAGAACTGTTGGTTTAACATTTATGGATTTAACATTTCTGCTTTTCTTCATAAATAACCTCAAAGAGTCAAAATATGCCAAAGTGTGATTTTGCCAACCTGGTGTACAGAAATGAATCTGATAACTAAAAGTGTACCTTGCCAGCTGCCTGGCTGCCCAGCCTCCCATCACAGGAGACCTGTGTTTTTCTTGGTTTTCTTTCTTGTGCAGTGCTTGCCACGAAGTGATAAATTCTTCCTTAAAAAGTAGCATTTTGAAAAAATAGACTAAATTGAGACTGTAAAAATATGCTTGAGATGTTGGCAGGACTGGGGTATAACTTTTGAAGCATTTAGTAGCATATGGAAGGCCCCAGGTTTAATCCTCAGCCCGGCAGGGGGGCGAGGCAGACCTTTAGCAATAGTCTTCAGAAAACAGGCTTTGAGACATTAAAGTATGTTATCTTTAGCTGGGTGTGGTGGCGCATGTCTTTAATCCCAGCACTTGGGAGGCAGAGGCAAGCAGATCTCTGTGAGTTCAAGGCCAGCCTGGCCTACATAGTGAGTTCAGGACAGCTAGGGCTACAGGGAGACCCTGTCTCAAAAAGACCAAAAATTAATTAATTTTTTTAAAAAAGTATGTTATCTTTGACATGAACAAAATTTGCCCTTTTTGGTGGTGGGAGGCAGGGTCTCATCTCACTCTGTAGCCCAGACTGGCAGTCTTCCTGCCTCAAACTCATGAGTTGTATGATTCAGGCATGAGCTGTCACACCAAGCCAGATGGGTATATTCTTCTCTTTTACAAGTATCAACATCCTATTGATTTATTTAGGAAAAATATGCTAGTAAATTGACCACTATTAATTTCTAGTAAGGATTCTAAGGAGTTTCAGATCATGTATAATTTTGAATAAATAGAAGATCAAAAAGCTCTTTTAGATTTTGACAGTATTAGGAAAGTTCTTTAAATATAGAAAAAGAGCTGAAGAGTTCCGTTGAAGGTGACTAACTATAAATGTATTATACATGACTGGAAAGTAACAGCAAGCAAGACTTGAGAGCTGAGCTGTCTCGGTATTTTTATCCAGTGTGTGGGGTGTTCCACATGCATCACAGCTATAATAGAGCTATCACATGGGACATTTGCAAAACAAGACAGGCGTTTAAAGGCTTCTGTGCTTGACTTCTTAGTCAGATGCTGTGTTGCTTGGCATTCAGCAACTAAAGTCCGAACCTAGATATTAAAAACTGAATTATTTTCAATCATTTGGGTTGTAACAGAAATAATTTAAATTATTTCAGGAAATGGAAGATAAAGTGACTAGTCCAGAGAAAGCTGAAGAAGCAAAATTAAAAGCAAGGTATCCTCACCTGGGACAAAAGCCTGGTGGTTCCGACTTTTTAAGAAAACGATTGCAGAAAGGGGTAAGTTGGCGAGTATCATCTTCAAATGTTTCCTCCCTGCAAATTCATTGTGACAGATTGAGAAATAAATGTCTGTACTTTTAGCTCTACTTATCAGGTGTGGGTATATCTTTTTCAATATTTTATATAGTTACCACCATGAATATGAGAAGAATCAACTATTTTAGATTACAAATTATATAATACAAGTATGCACAGCTAATGTAACAGAATCTATATAACCACCACCTTGGATTAATGTTAATATTTTGCAGCATTTCGGTTTTATTTTTGCAAGAAAGTAGATATGGATATGATTCACACCCATTGTGTATTTTACAATATATACCTTCTTTCCCCCTTTTCTTCAAAGGGACTTCTGTCCAGAAGCTGGTGTTCACCCCACTGACCTTCCTTCTAAACTTGCCCATTTTAAATGCAGTGCCCACACACCATCCAAAGGCTTAGGGTACTTTTTATTTGGATGATCATTTATAAAATCATGTAATTTGCTTCAGATTCAGTTACTTTAATTCAATTTACATTTTATAATTTTAGTAGTTTTTGAAAAATCTGTTTTTCAGCATTGAAATGAGATAATGCTACTTGTTCTTAGTTTTCTCTTTTAACCCCTTCTGTTTGAAAAAAAATTAGAGGACTTCATTTGCAGTTAAAATGCATTTGAATTCTTTGCCATAATGGAATTAGAGAAAGATGAAGTATTATATATGGAAAACAACTACTTAATGAGATGCCAGGTCATGTTTCTCTTTTTACCTTACATATGAAAAACATGTCTGTGGCTGTGTGCCATAGTTACATATGGGTTGTTTTCTCAAATAACTCTAAAACATTAATTTTAACTAATTATTTTTAAGGTTGTCAATAAAATGGCATGTGTTTTTTTTTTTTAAACTCATGAAGTAAAGATCCACAGCTTTCAAGTACTAAGGAAAATTAGACTAAATATATAAAAATAAAGGATTTCTGTTACCATGAACGAATCTGGTAGAAAAATTATTTTAAAAATTGGAGAAATTTCAAAATATTTAAGAAAAACACCATATCGCTAAAGAAATTTAAAATAGGACATATGACTGTTAAACAGAAAGTGTTTACATCTATAGTAGAAATCAGTGAAATGTAAATTGTATCGCACCATAATAAATTCAGCTAATTTTAGGAAAATATTTAGAATAATTTTATTGGCAATTTCTAAGATTGAAATTGAGTAGAACTAAGAAAATCTTTGTTTTGTGGAAACATTTAAAATTATTACTGTTATTTATTTTTGAAAGGTATGTAGTCAAGATTCAGAGAAGTATTCACATTCTTTGACTAACTCTTGTAAATTAAGAGAATATTTCAATATGAAAAAAAATACCAAATCTGAGGGGTTTTTTTTCCTTGTTACTTTTACAATAATTGGAAGCAGCATCAATGTTCAACAAAGAACAGTTAAATAAGCTGTAATGAGTCAACAAACTAGAACATGTGGTTATTTAAAATCATGACCATGGTCATAATACAGGGGATAAATAGAAATATCAGCATGAGAACTATGTTCATTATGAATGTAGCTATGTAGAATGTTCATGTGCTGAGTCTAATTATAGAACTGTACTGTTAGGTATAGTTTCAGCTGTGAAGTAAATTATGTGTAATCATTGGCTGTTAGGTGCTTGTTTGCAGTTGACAATTAGTGTTTAGGAGACCCTTCTACTAATCTTTTTTTTTTTTTTAACTTATTTAAAATGATTCCCACTGAAATGACTTGGAATATTATGAAGTGATATTCATGGGCTCCTCTCTAGCATAGCAGGTGAATTTTTTCTTCCAGTACTGGGGCTACTCCTTTTAATCCCCCCCACCCCAGCTTCAACCCTTTGTGATTTTGAAGTTTCATCATAGCAGAATTAATGTACACTGTATCTTAGAGTTGGTATCAATGATGTAAATAGTTGGAAATGAAGCAAATGCCAGTTGGATTGAATAATACAGAATTTGAGAAGTGAACATTTGAATGATTCTGTATTTTCCCAAAATATTAGTGAATAAGTTTTTTTAATATTATAGAAATTGATTTTTTTAAAAGTCTGAATCACAAGGTTTTTTTTTCCTCTGTCACAATGTTAGCAAGCTTAAATTAGTTTCATCATTTGAGAGGTTTGATTTTACATTAACATTAAGACCATGTGTCCAGTGAGTTTAGAGTAGGGAAGGATATGAATGGTCTAGCTCATAGTTTTCTGTATTTGTGGTTTGTAATGTGCCAATAAGACCAAGGACCCAGTTTTGAGAAACATGTCTCTATTAAACATTGTCATGTCAGGTGATCACATAGTGTTCATGGAATTACAGGTGTCTGTGACATGTCGCTTCTAGATTTTAGTGTAAAGTCAGGCATGGTGGCACACACATGTAATCTTAGTTCTTGGGCAGTAAAAGCAGGAAGATTAGGAATTCAAGGGCATCCTTTAGCGTTTGAGGACAGCTTGGGCTTCAGGAGACCCTATGATGGATGGATGGATGGATGGATGGATGGATGGATGGATGGATGGGCGGGCCAGTGGGTCGGTGAAAAATAAAGTGAAGATCATCTGTGTGATCTGGAATGTATTTTGGTAAGTTTTAGGGTTTTTATTTGTGTCAGACAGGGTCTCATTTTATCCCACCATGACCTCGAACTTGCTGTGATCCAGCCGCAGTCTCTTAAGTGCCAGAATTTATAGGAATGAGCTAACACACATAGCTAACTTTAGGTATTTTAATTGTAAACTCACAAAATTTATGAATTGTTGGACAACTAATATCACTGCTAGACTGTCTGTTGAATCCTACTATGAGAAGTATCACTCTCCATCACCTCTACTGAGGGCATTAGTGTCTACTCTGACAGTGTTGTGTATTGTTAGTCTTTGCTCAATCTCTATAGGGTTACTACTGTCTTGTAGTGTAGTAACATGTTTGTTTTTGTTCTTTGGGGTGTTGTTTCTGTTTTGTTTTATTGGAGGGGGCAGCTCTGCCTGTCGAGCATTGAGTTTGGGGTTTTTTGTTGTTTTTTTTTTAATATTTATTATTTTTATTTTGTGTATATTGTCTGCATGTACATGAGTGCACCCGTGTTGTGCAGTGCCACGGAGGTCAGGAGAGAGCTTCGGATTCCCCTGGAATTGGAGTTAAGGATGGTTCGTAGCCACCATGTGGGTGCTGGGAATCGAACCCCCGTCCTCTGCAAGAGCAGTCAGTGCTCTTAACCACTAAGCCATCTCTCCAGCCCCATGAGTTTTGGTTTTAATTCTAGCCAAATACAGAAATTTAATCCCTTACCCCTAAGCAGGACAGCCTTGTTTGCAGTTGAATGCAATCCTTTAATAATGAACTTTTGCTTACTATCAAGTAGTTAACATTAGAAACTGAGTTCCTTACATCAGAGGAAATTGTACATTACTGAGCCTGCAAGATGACTCAGTGGGTAAAGACTCTTGATACCAAGCCTGACAACTTGAGTTCAATTCCCAGAATCCACAAAGTGGAGGAGAGAATCAACTCCTGTAAGTGTCCTCTGACCTCCACACGTGTGCTCTGGCACACATGCACACATACCCCTCTCTAGCCCCCTTAAATAAGCCCATGTTAAAAAGAAAAAAAATGCAGTGTTGCATTTCTCACTTTGTACTTTAAATAAAACAAGAAAGAAATTTGCTGCTTTGTTCTCCAAATGCCAGCCAGTAAACTCAGAAGCAGCTCTTTTTGCTTTTTGAGACAGAATCTCATAGAGTCAAGGTAGGCCTTGAACTTCTTGTCCCCTGCCTCCATCTCCCAAATGCTGGAGCTACAGGTGTGCCACACATACTCAGCTAGAAGCAGCTCCCTGATCTGTAGGGCATTAGAGTTCTGAGACTTTGTTGCATTCTTTTAAAGTACCTTATAGAAATGAAGTTGCATCAACCTCAGAAGTGCCTGGCCATGTTTGTTGTTACTGCTCCATATGAAGCTTGCATAGTGGTTGGTTCATGAAAAGCAATTTCTTTTTTTAAATTTATTTTCTATTATTTTTTTAATTTTCTGTGTATGAGTGTATTACCTGTATGTATATATATATGTAAGTGCAACTGTGTCATGCAATGCCCAGAGGTCAGAAGAGGGTGTCAGATCCCCTGGAACTGGAGTTACGGATAGTTGTTAGCTGCCATGTGGGAATCAACCCAGGTCCTCTGCAAGAGCAACCAGAGTTCTTAACTGCTGAGCCATCTTTGTAGCCACCTGAAAAGCAGTTTCTAACCATAGGCCCCTTGGCCATTGCAGATCTAGCTCTAGAGAGAAAGCCAACCACTAAAGACCTAGACCTAGTGTGAGACTCAGCAGTCTCACACTAAGTTTGAGACTGTTCTGTTTTTCATCCAGGCCATCATTTTCTTATTATATTATTTCCTTTTGCCAAACCCAGATTTGAGACTAATCGCCTTTAACCTTAAAATAGTTAGGATAGTTGATTTACTTTGTAGTTTTCTATCTTAATTAGCTCTTACATGGTAGCTCATGTATAGCAGACATTCAGGAAAAAAAAAGCAGCTAAACATGATGTAGGTATAAGCCAAAACTCAAAGCCATCTGTTTTGTAGTGCTAGAGGAGTGTGGTGGTTACTTTATTCCTCCAACTAAAATAAGAAATAGTTGTGCTTATTTGGTGTCTGTAAAAAATCAGAAGTGGGAGGTGGGAATATGCATTTTAAGTGAATTGGTGTCTAGTGAGTTTATTTCTTTCATTACATTTGTGTTTATATTTTTTGCCCTAATTTAAATTTTTGCAGAAATTCTTCATTAGGTGACAAAGTACCAACTAATAAGTTGATTGGGAAATGGGTGGTATATCCTAATAGAAGTTGCCGAATTGTTTTTCTTATTTTCAAAAACTTCTACCCGATTGTAAAAGAAAGTCTTGAGGGTTCTATGTTAGAAGCAGCCCAAGGAAGAGGTTTTTGATTAACTTCTTGGTGGTTCCCATTTGTTTAGACCAACATATTCCATGCTGGCAATATAGAGCCGCATCTCTGTCTTAAATCAGTTTAATGATATGTAAGAGCTTTTAAACTCTAATCTGTTTTTGTTTTTATTTGCAGCAAAAATATTTTGATTCTGGGGATTACAACATGGCAAAAGCAAAGATGAAGAACAAGCAGCTTCCCGCTGCAGCCCCAGATAAGACAGAGGTCACTGGTGACCACATCCCCACTCCACAGGACCTTCCTCAGCGGAAACCATCCCTGGTTGCTAGCAAGCTGGCTGGCTGATTAAAAGAGCTGAACTGCATGAGTCTTCTAATGCCCATTATTTCTCCTTACTCCATTACTTACCCGCTTTCTGTTTCCTTTCACTCACTACGTCATTTGAGACTGACAGCTTTGCAGGTAGTGGTAGTGTGCTGCTGTTGTAAGGGAACATACTTGTGTAGAGGTTTTGATTAGTTTTAACAGTGCACTGTTGCAAAGGACATGTTACAACAAAATAAGTAATCTACATGAAAATAATTGTATATATTACCTAACTCGGTTGTAGGACCAGTTCCAACAAGTAGCAAGCAAGTTTTACAATTTTAATGTTTTGGCTTTCCTTCCTTCATCATAATCAGAGCTTTGTATGTTACTCTTATTTAATATGACCTCTGTTGTATTGATTTCTTCTGTATTTTCCTTTTGGATTTTGTATAACAGAAGTTTAAGACCACAAGTTGGAAGAAAAATCACACAATTCAAACACAAGTAGATGGGCTCCAAAAGATTCAAATAATTGCTTGAACTTGAATGGCCTTAAACCTGTTTCAGCTTTAACAATAGCATTTAACTTGGGCAATATTTGCCCATTCTGGTGTAACTTGTGTAACTTCAGTGCTTAATAGCTGTCATTGAAGCTAATGCTCTTCCTCAGTTCTGCAGTGTTGGGACACCTTCCTTTGTTGAAGATGTGAATGGAATGTGCATGTGCATTGACCATTGCATTCACTTTTGTGCCATTTTTGTAAATACAGTAGTTTTGCACAACCTTTTAAAATGTCTCTTAATTTCAGCATACTAGAAAGTAGATCATGTGCCAACCAGAAGCACAAGACTTCCTACACAAATCTCTGTATGCCATTACTGCTTTTGTATAAGAATAGTTTATAATCTTGAGGTTATCAAAATATCAAATGGAAATCTTTACTCAGCCTGCTATACAATTAAGCTTTTTCATTTGTTACTAATAGTCATAACTTTCAGTGGCCTTGTATAAATATGATATGTTGCTTAGGCATATCTTTTGTTCTATGCAGAGCATTTCATTTTGACTTCAACAAAAAAAATTTGCAATTCATATAATTTACACAAACTTTCTCCATGTAGAAACTTTTTACTTCTAAACTCAACTTTGGGCACACTAAAGTAAAAGGTGTTTGTATTCTTCTGCCTTCTATTTTCTTCCCAACCCCCACCTTCTCTTTGCTTCTGTGACTTGTGCGTATTGGGCTGTTGTGTTTATATATGAAAACATGTCTATCTTTACTCTTTAACCTTACTTAAATAAAAGGATTTTTATGAGGTTTTTTTCGTAATACTGAGGATCAAACCCACTGTCTCACACATCCTAATAAGCAAGTACTCTACCACTGCACTACACCCTTATCCCTAAGGGAACTTTATGATGAAACAAGTAGTTCAAAAGACTGGTCCAGGAAATTATTTCAGGGTGAATAATCAGGATGAACTAAAAGAATTAGGCTTATAACAATTTCAGTTATTTGCATGCTAGCTAAAACATTAAAAATATTTAAGTATTTTCTTCTCTAAAGGTCATTTTAATAAAAGCGTCCATTTAATTTTCATTGTGGCTTAGCAAGAACATTAGCAAACTTTAATATAAAGATAAGCGTATCGTTCTCTTCAAGCTCTTCACCTGGTTATAAGGCTGTATCATAATGGGGGTCAGCAGTCTGAGCTGATTCTGTTTTTTACGTCTCATCTTGGGCTGGGACAGGGCCTCCCCTCTTTTGGATCTAGGCATCATTTTGTGTGTTGGCTCCATTTGTGTACCTGCTTTCCTGTAGTTCCACATCATAGATGGTGCCTTGAACATGATAGCACCCACACTAGTGATCAGTCCTGCTCCACCCACACTGGAAGCAGAAAAGCAACACAGTACTGTGCGCAATGATAATTTTATAATTCAATTATATGTAAATACATATGTGGTGAGCCAAGTATGTTATTCTGCAGTATGTATATATAACTCATAGGATTGATACCTAGTTTTTTTTTCCCCATGGATATTTGTAAGCCATCACCATTAAATTCAAACATCAGACAAGATTAATCAGAGATCAGAGTGACCGTGTTGTTCCTGACCACCACAGGACTCCTCTAGTTTATGGCAAGTGACATAACAGCTGCTTGAGTTTTAATTTGTAAAACAGAACACTGATACTCTACCTCAACACTTGAGGACCTGTGAAATACTAAGTGCCCAAAATAAAATATTGCTGTCTTTATCAAGAGTAAATTTCCTCACTAAACCAACCTGCCTTCTATAAAGTAGCAGTACTTAAATAAAATCTCAGGATCGTCCAGGAAAAATACCTGTTATTACAGATTTGTAGGTAATACTTTGCATAGCCTCCATTATTGGTGCTTGAAAGGTTTTTAATTTTTCTATTGTTTGCCTGAAAGCTCAGTTTGTTGACATTTTCACAAGCTCTTTGCTCATCGTAACTTAAGATTTTGATGAGATGAACCTAATTGTCCATTTCTGTTTCACAGTTATGTGTGAGGAATGGCTAATTTTAATATTTGAGTAAAGTTGGAGATAAAAATACTAAGTTAAAACTGGCTGAAGCTAAAATGGCCTGTTTTGTGTTTAGTAACTCCTACTTTTGGTAGTTCCAAGGGGCATTTCCTCACAGGCTGCGTTTGACAGTTACAACCCTTAGCTAGTTGGAGTAGTAGTATTTCGGTGAATTGAGGGAGCATGTTTGTACTCTACAAGTTCCATAATCGTGCTGCTGCTCTTAAAATAGGTCTTAACTTTCTAAGGCAGTCATAAGGCCTCTCTATTTGTCACTTCAGCCATTAGAATTAGTTGCTCTTTTTACTTGATGTAACCAAAGTATACCTCTGAATATTCACTGATGGTCATGACTTAAGTCAGACTTGTATTCTTATTTGAATATTACAGTCTTATCAAAGCTGAAGTAGCAAATCCGAACCGTGCTCTCAACTTGGTGTTTGGTGGTCATAAGCACATGGCCTATAGGAACAGCAGTTAGTCTTGAGTGGTTACCAAAGCCCTTCTGTGTCGGCCTCAATTCTTCTACATTCACATATAACTTGTATCTCACTTTCCTCACCATACCCATCCATGAAGCCCACTTAGGCACTTACTAAACCATATTTAGGGCTGGTGAATTGTGTTTAATATCCTTTTCAACATACCACAACTTGGGGCATTTTGCATTTCTAAAGCACTGTCTTGATCTGGGTAAATGAGCTGCTATCCCCATTCTGACTCAGCATACACTGCCAGTCTCACTTGGATCTTTTTCCCCGACTTACCACTGCATCTATTGAAAGTGGGGATCAAAGGAACATCTAGAGAGAAAAACAATTTGATACTTTACTAGTTTGGACCTTCTAAGTAGGCAGACCTGTGGATTTCACTCTATAGGTTACTGGTGGTGGTGATAGCCATTCACATATGTTTGTATTATGTTATTGACCAACTAAATAGTTAAAAGAATCATCTTACTCCTTAAGTACCTTACCCTCAAATGTGTTACTGCACCTCTACTGTTTGTTAGGCAGTAGGACACTGCCTGTATTCAAAGGGCCAACATAAATGCCTTTTTGTTAAAAGATGTCTGTAGGGTTGGCAGTTAATGCTGAAATTTGTCAAATAGCCCTTCCAAAATTATACTTGTAAAATATCCAAAAAATAAATTTACCTAATTTTTATTGATTTTAATTTGCAGTTTTGTCTTATTTAAGTGTTCGTGTTTTCTAGTATGCCTTTTTATATGAAGAATTTGACTTGTCTTAAGATTTTGAGTTAAATAAATTGCTAATGAAATCCTACCATCTTGTATGTGCAATGCTCCACTGTAGTAGTATTGAATCCAGAAAGATGGATGAGACAAATGACATACATTCTAAAAAACTAATGCAGGCTAGAGAGTACTACATCCCTCAAAAGAGGTAGAAATTAAGTTCCAGGAAGTTTGTGGAGCTGAGGATGTAGCTCCGTTGGTAGAGTGCTTGCCTAATATGCACAAAACCTTGGGTTCAATTCCCAGCATCATGTAAACTAGGCCTGGTGGTACATGCCTGTAATTCCAAAATATAAAGATACACAGAGCCCAGGCTAGCCTAGGCTTAAGACTCTGCCTCAGAAAATTCCAAGAATTCTGCAATGAGTTCTTCAGCTTAAAAGGTAAGATAAAGCCAGGCGTGGTGGCACACTTGGGAGGCAGAGGCAGGTGGATCTCTGAGGTTTGAGGCCAGCCTGGTTTACAGAGTGAGTTCCAGGACAGCTGGGGCTACAGAGAGACCCTGTCTCAAAAAAAGACCGGAAAAAAAAAAAAAAAAAAGTGGGATCAGAGAAGTTTTCAGGTGGCATTGATAGACAGGTTGTGGTGAAAGCGGATAAAGTGCATTTTAGGTGATGGGAATTTAATTCTCATGAAAGCAAGGAGTTGGGGAAAGGTGAGCCTGTGTAAGAAGGGTTGGAAAAACTGCAAATGAGAAAGCTAGTTTTTTCTTCCTTAGAGTTGTTCTTTCTCTTGGACTCAGGAAATGCCACCATGAATTTGTCAACTGAGGCACTGGGGAACCCTGAAGTTACCTACAGCAATAAAATAGCAACTTGACAAAGCAACTTAGGTCTCATTATTACAGGGCAGTCACGGGCAGGAGCTTGAAGTAGCTGGTCACAACTGCATCCATAGGCAAGTGTGGAGGAATCAATTAATGCAAGCATTGTGTTCCTCACTTTCCCCACACTTAACACAATTCAGGATTCCCTGCCTAAGAAATGGTACCACCCACAGTGGGCAGGTGTTCCCACCTCAATGTAATCAAGATAATCCCCCATAGACATGACTACAAACCCACCTAGTCTAGACAATTCCTTAGTGAAACTCCCTTAGGTGATTCCAGGTAGTGTCAAGTTGATAAAACTGACCATATTTACCTTTAAATCCCTTAGCTTAGTTCTTTCCCTTCAACACTTCCTTCATTAAACTATTAAATACATAGTTTTTAATAGATCCTCTGCAAGACCCTGGTTTGGAACTTACCTGGCTTTTTCATCCTTAGTTCAGCTTGCAACTTCCTTAGAAATCTGTTTAGTTATATACTTGAATTAAAACTGATGAAATACCAGGGCTGTAAGTGAGCCAGATACGAATGAATGCATATACTTGATTCTGGCCCTTTTTCTCTGAATGAGTGGATGACGCATAGTTTTGCTCTCATAAATCCCGCACTTCTCTGAAATTGGTTTACACAGATCCTATGACAGGAACTCAAAGTGGTGTTGCTTCTCTGCTTTGTGGTCATGCCCTGGCAAGCCAGTCTGTGTCTGAGCAAGACTCCTCCGTTGTCTCAGTAATAATACTCAGGGTTGCTTAGTACGTGGTGGGCTCTTGCTTTTCTTTAGCATCTGTAAATGCTAATTCTTCATCACTTTGTATGTAGGTTATCAGTTGTTTCATTACTGATTAATTGATCATTACAGAGTATCCACGTATTATGTAAGGCTTGATAAAGAGGCAGAGACACCAGTGGGCCACCTAAAGTTACAGACCACCGACCATATTTTCTTTAGTTCTCAACCACCTTGTTAGTGATATGAGAAACAGTGATCACTATGATTTCCTATTAAAGGCCAGTTTTTAAAAAATGTTTTTCAAATATTGTATTTTATTTATTTACTTACTCATTTAATTTGTCTTTTTGAGACAGGGTCTCCCTGTAGCCCCAGCTACAGGGACTCACTGGAACTCACTATGTAGACCAGGCTGGCCTCGAACTCAGAAAGACCCGCCTGCCTCTGCCTCCCAAGTGCTGGGATTAAAGGCATGTGCCACCATGCCTGACCTTATTTATTATTTTTATTTTATGTGTATGAGTGTATTGCCTGCATGTATGTGAGTGCATCCGTGTCATGCAATGCCACGGAGGTCAGAAGAGGGCTTCAGATTCCCCTGGAACTGGAGTTAAGGACAGTTCATAGCTGCTATGTGGGTGCTGGGAATCAAACCTGGGTCCTCTGCAAGAGCAGTCAGTGCTCTTAACCACTAAGCCATCTCTCCAGCCCCAAAGGATAGTTTTAATAACTCCATTAATACTAGGAATTGTAAGACCGATTATGAAATCTGACTTGAATGCACTGTATCCTATTGCTTGAGTTGCCAGCCTTGCTAATGTAAAGAGGGTCATATGTAATATTGCTCCTACCATTTATAGTCTAGTATGTTTATATGTAACTGTAGGGTAGTGACATAAAGCACTTGACTAGCATGTTCAAGGGCACTGAGTTCAAGTCTCAGGCTTCCAAAAAGAATGAAAAAGTCCCAAGTAAACTTTAAAGAGCTACTCTTTATAGTTGTATCATGGTTTTGTTACTCGTGGTTCCATCCTGATGTAATGTTGCTGACTGATTCCAGTGATTCACATTCCTATAGAAGTCTGTGAATGTCAGAAGCATAAAGAGGCAGTTTTAGTGTGAAAATAGCCATGTGCCAGCCACAGAGGCCAGAAAAGAGTGTTGGATCCCCTGGAACTAGAGTTACAAATGATTGTTAGCTGCCATGTGGGTGCTGGGAACTGAACCTAGATCCTCAGCAAGAACAACCATTACTCAATCCCAATAGAGGAGGTTGGCATGGGAGCAAGGGAATGTAAGCAGAAAAGAAGTGAAGAGAAATTTTAGTCACTAATTTTTATTTTAGTATCTCAGTTCTGCTGAGATACTAAAATAGATAAGATTTTTGTTTAGAAGTTTTTGCTTTTAAATGCAGGGAAATTTTTGAATATGGTCATTGTGCTAGTGACTCTTTTCCATCCCTGTAACACACCCAGACAATTTATACAGATGAAAGGTTTATTGGGGCTCATACATTTGGAGGTTTCAGTCCATGATTATAAACCACAGTGCTTGGGGAGGTGGCACATCATGAGGGGCCTTGTAGCAGAGCAAAACCACCTCACCCCATGGTGGGTAAGCAAGAGTGAGGTAGGGTTCTAGACCCCACAATCTCCTTTGTGAGCATGCCTCCAGTGACTTAAAAATTTCCACGAAGCTCTGCCTAAGTTCCTACTATTTCCCAAAGCAAGTTGGGAACGAGGCCTCTTAATACGTGAACCTTAGGACTCTAGATCCAAACTAGGTCAATCACAGGCAAAACAAAATGAGTGAAAAAAGATCCAGGCGTGGCAAGAAGGTAAAAATGGAGTTAGAGATCAGCCCTAGCTAGCCTGTCTTTCAGAGTCAGCAGGTGAATCACTAGGCAGGAGGGGGTACATTGGAGGAGAATGCTGCTGAATGACAGCCCTAGCTCCGTAGGGGGCTAGTGTGCTGTCCTCTAGAAGTGTGCTCAAAGTCATTTCTTGGGAATCATTGCTTTCAAAGAGAACAAATGCCATCAAGCACGGGGCATACCCATGGGATGGGAAATGAGAAAATTAAGACTGATGGAAGAGTGATACAACTGAAATTTGGATCTAACCCTAATTCTTGGGCTGTTGTGCATGCTTTTTCTGGTGGTTGCCCCTGTATCTCAGTAGCTTACATTAGTTTTTAGTTTCTTAATTTACTTCAAGACATAAATGAATGCTTTCCAAACTGATAGGGGGTTTAGCTTACATTCCCCACTCTTGTCTCTTTCCCAAGTATCTCTACTTTAAAATTTATTCATGTATTTATTTTTATGTGTATATGAGTGTTCTGTCTGCATGGGTATAGGTGCACCTGTGTGTGCAACTCCCACAGGGAGGGGCCAGAAGAAGGTGTTGGATCCCCCTTAGAGTTACAAATGATTGTTAGCTACCATGTGGGTGCTGGGAACTGAACCTAGATCCTCTGCAAGAGCAATCGTTACTCTTAACCACTAAGCTATCTCTCCCAACCCCCTTTATTTAAAGACAGGATTCTCACTCTTGTAGTCCTGCTGGCCTCAAATTTGAGATCCTCCTTTTTCAGCTTTCTAAGTGCTGAGACTGCCAGGCTTGGTGCACATCTGTAATCTCAGTACTCCAGAGGCAGAAACAAAAGGATTGGCCTAAGTTTGAGGCAAGCTAGGGCTAGATAGTTGAGTCCAGGGGTGGCAATATAGCTCAGAAAGTAGAAGTGTTTGTTATGCAAGCCTGCAAGCTCCACTTTGATCCCCAGAACCCATGTAAAGGTGGAAGAAGAGAACTGACTCTGTAAAGTTGTCCTCTGACCTCTACATGTGCACTGTGGCACAGGCATTCCCACATACTAATAATAAATTAACAAACAGAACCAAATCAAGTGCTGAGACTGCAGGTGTGCACAACCATGTGTGGCATGTTCTCACTGCCTGTGATCCTTTGTATACTTATTTTCTAGTGCTTAGTGATAATAATTTCAACTTAAAAAATTCATTTAGACAATATTTTTTGACTCTCTGACATGTATAATAGCAAAATTAAAATTTTTTTGAGACAAAGTCCCGTGTATCCTAGGCTTCCCTTGAACTTGCTATATAACCTAAAATGATCTTGAACTTCTATATGTGTGCATGTTTGTATGTGTGTGCACAGATGTGCCTATACATGTAGAGGCCATGAGGTGTCTTCCTCTATGGCTCGCCATCCTTTTTTAAAAAAAATATTTTTATATGTGTATGAGCATATTGCCTGAGTGTATGGAAGTGCACTTGTGTGGTGCAATGCCCACTGAAGTCAGAGGAAGGCATCAAATCCCCTGGAACTGGAGTTATG